CATTTAGGGTGGATGAAGGAACGGGGGCGGGCATGGCAAACCACACTTCTATTTTGTCTTGGTACTAGGGTGCCTCTGGAAGAAGAGCCATTTACTTTGTTGGCCCCGACTCTGAAACAGCAGCAAGACTTTTTGCAAGGCCCTATGACAAGGCTCAGAGAGGAGACAAAGGCCAAAAAAGTCCTTGGGATTACATGAGGAAATGCTGACATGCTTCCAAAGAGAAGATGCTACATACAGGGGCAATCTAGGCTATTGATAACAGCACTAATTAACAACTGGGTCTACATTCTGAATAACAAACATCAGCTCCCTTTCAGAGCTTTATTTAAACTTCCTTTCTAGGGAAATACCTGTTTCTCCTGATCAAAGTTTCTGGAATATTAGCAGACATCCAACGAAAGACATAGCTCGCTTCCACATGAACGGGAGCCATGGCGTACTCTTACTAGGAAACTATCATCTTGTCGAGTGTGTACAAACTCAGCATACTCTGTGCAAATTCTTTATTGAAACAATGATCAATTTACAAGCTGGACCATATTTCATTTTGCCGCTTCAGCATGAACTGGTCTCTTTGTGGTTTACGGCCGTGAACTATAAAATCATAACAGTTATTTAAATCAAAATACAGTAACTGCTTCTCAAAAGAACACATTCATATTTGTCTTACATTTCTTGTAAAATCAAAAAGGATTTCATAATAAATGAAATATAACTTAAGATACTTTAGTGCAAGCGTTTCCTTTGCATCTAAGAAGCTTTCAGTTGTCCCACTAAGCGTGGCATACTTAAGAGGCCAACTCTCAAAATAGCATGCTGCCAAGATATTCCATGAGAACTTTTCAGATTTGCCACCGTTACCACTTTCCAGAATTAGTTGATCTGAACCAAACTGAACGTTAGAAAGCCCTGGTTATACGTTACAGTACTTTTGTCAAAAGGTAACTGCAAATCGAGGAACTGCCATAGTATGTACATTAGAATAAAACAGGCACTGATTTAAAAAAAATCAACATCTGCCCATATATGCCATTCTGCAAGTCTTATGATTATACAGTAATTTTTAAGCACAGGAATGAACTGCTGTGCCTTACCTAATACCAATGAACCTGCATAAAAATGCTGGTCTATGGGTTCTTTTAAATTTTTTAAATGACAATCTCAAACAATAACTGAAAGGTAGAGGTTTCATCACAAGCATACTCAAATCAGAGAAAAAGAAAGAATCAGCAGTAAACAAATGCTGCTCAAAAAGAAAAGGCTGAGTAAGTAGATAGTGAGTAATATGTTCAAGTGGTCTGATTAATATGGTCTTACATTTAGTGAAAAAAGAACAAGAAGTGTAAAATTCAAATCCAACGCTGATTTCTTGTGCTGCAGAAATCTAGTCACATTTCATGACCTTTTGGCAAAAAATATTTTGAAATGGTGCAAATATATCCTGCAAATCTCTTTTCCTTTCTACGCCTGGCTTGGTGTTCCTTACGCTTTTAGAACGCAAAGTCAGTTGGACTGGATTTTCCAGAGTCTGAGTGTTTTAAGAACCATTAGTGTTTGGCGATATAAGAAGTAGAACAATGTAACAAAAGGTGTGCATAGTCCAGTGATGGGAACAGATCACTAATGTCCCCAAAGTGCTTAAGGCGCATGAAAATACCTAACAATGCAAATGTTAATGTTTTCTTAGAGCCGTCGTTAATTTTATATTTGTTAATTGTGTTCTCGCACCATAAAATAGCCATTCCCTAAGAAATACTGCAAGACAGAATTGTTTCTTTACAATAGCACAGCCAGAAAGTCTGGAACAGGAAAGATGGGTTTGGGTCTGGATTCCCATCTGTCTCCCACAAAGGAAGTGCCTGAAAGCAGGTGAAAAGCTTTAGGCTTACAGGTTGATGATGGATGCGTAAAGATACTGAGCGGCATACCCGAAAACAGAAAAAAACCCCATAAACCAGAACCGTTACAATCTGTACTTTGTGGTCTTCAGCTGTTCTGCTTTTATTCCAATAATACCACAAAGCTAAATGTCCAAAGAATTCCTAGCAGCCTGGCTGGAGCCGTCCTACCTGTGAACTCTCAGCTCGGAGTGACTCCGGCTCCAGCAAAGTCAAGGTTCCCTTTGACCTCGCAGCAGCGGGAAACTCAGCCCTACACCGATTACGTGCAGCTCATCCAATTACCCGTTGCTCGTACGTCGTTTGCGACGTACGTTTGTCTGTATTTCAAACACGTGCTCTTTGTGGGCAGCCTTTGGAAAAAAGCATAACCTGTATCTCCAAGGAAGTTTACGCAGAGATACTGAAGAAAACCATGGGGATTGTTTGCTCTCCTATATTTCTCAATAAATAAATAGTAAACAGGCTGGAGGACAGCCTGAGGGCAGCAGTCAGGTTCAGAGCTGCCTGGTACCAATCACCATATCAATACACAAAGGGGTCTGGTCTCTACTCTAAAAAGTTCATCATTAAAAAACAATTCAAATTTAAATACTGATAAATAATTTTGAAGGTTTGTTTGTTTTTTTTTTTACTTTTAAAGTGTAATTTAGAAGTCATTTTTATGCTTTCAAGGAGAACATCCTTGCTCCTCTGTGCAATCTTCGTTTGGCACCAGGCAGGTAACTTTAGAATGCACGAGCATTGTTTGTAAGTGCTGGACAGGCAGAAAAATCAAAATGCCTCTTTTCAGGAGGTTAAGGTGAATTAAAAGAATTTAGTGCAAGTTCCTGCTTTTGTTTCTGCCCTCATCCTTTTCATACCAGAAGCAAATCAAGTAACTTGAAAAACTGATGTGAACACTAAACAGAAATGTGCTTTGGACTCAGACAAGTTGACAGTTTGCATCAGCAGTATTTTCAATCACGCTGGTCAGAAGTGAGGTTCTTTGTGGTATTCTCTTAACCTACCCTGTGTTCTAGATTTATATTGCTTCGCTGGAACTAAAGTATTTCCAGCCACATTCCTAAAGGGACTTTGCCCTTGCATGTGTCCTTTTGGGCACGTGCAAATGCGTTTTTTACAGCTGCCTGCCGCTGCGGTAAGCACAAAGCAACGTCAGGCAACTAAATGCTGTCATTTTCACAAGTTGGTCGAAAAATCTGAAGTCCGTTATTAAACAAGGATTTTTTTTTTCATAACCATGGAAAGGTAAATATCGAGCCTTCTCTGCATCAGCTACGTAAGTCAAAAGTTGGTCGAAAAATCTGAAGTCTGTTATTAAACAAGGATTTTTTTTTCATAACCATAGAAAGGTAAATATGGAGCCTTCTCTGCATCAGCTACGTAAGTCACGGGGTGTTCCTGTATTTCACTGCTAGGGAAGCTCTGCGCTTTAGCACAAGGAAGTTGACATAAAACCTCAGTTCATTAGCAAGGGTTTTTTTAGATAGCTGCAACATTGACTTTGCTTGGTCTCAGTTACTCGTGCAGTTAATATACCTGATACCGAGTGCCTCCAACAGACACCTCAGGTAGATGTGGCTACTTCAAGAGAATGTCCAGAGAGCCATCCACACATCATCTCCCCATAGACCTAAGTGACTTCTTTTTCTGCAATATACTTGGGTCCAGATTTGTTTTGAGTATCTATACTTACACTACAGTCCTTCTTAAAAATGATAAGATGATCGTTTGTTCGTTAGTTCCAAATTAAATGTGTGTCAGGTAATTCAGTAATATGCTATTAATCCTACACAAACTCTTCCTTGTAAGTGCTTTCTTTCCGGACTCACTCCAGAGAAGGTCTTTTATTGTCTGTCTGCAATAGAAATGATCACTTCCCTTCCACTCCTGGCATAAATGTTGATCCTTTTTAATGCCACAATCGCTGCGATCATTAAGGCTTTACTGGGGTAGTGTCACATGTCCTCAAGCAGTGAACACCCTACATAGGCAGGAGGTTCTTAAAATACCAAAGCAATTATACACAGCAAACAATTCGTGCGATCATCGTTGTAATTTCACAGGACTATAATTATTATTTTTTTTTTTTGAGTTTGGATAAAACACTCTCAAACTTATGCTTATAGACAAATTTAGGCTTGATCTTCAGAATATGAATCTGCACAAAAGTGAGAATCCCAATAAAAGGGTCTTCCGCCATTTCAGCCTCGTCATTGGCGGATTACTGGCATTTGCAGGATTGTTAAGGAACCGGCATAGCTTCTGGGAAGGTAGTGTGTACTTACTCCTACCACATTTCTACAAAACAAGACATCTTGCATATTTGCAGCTGTTTTCCATAGAATCTTCTGGTAAGGTAAAAAATGGTCAAATATATGCAAAAAAAACCCTGCAGAGCTGTTGGACCGCAACTTTCTGTAAGATGTCTATGGACTTTCCCATCTGTAAAATACAGCTCAAAGTTGTTTCTCGATGTGGAAAAAAACAATTGTTGGCATCTTCATTCCATGGAAAAGGGAAAACTATTTCCCGTGTGTCTAAGCAGTGTGGACTCAAATGAAATGGAAACATTTTAACTTTCTTTAATAGCCCTCTAAATCACAATGCAGCTGAGCAAACAGGCTTTGTAAGTGGGATCTATTAGGATTTTATTTGGCTACTGGAGTGCTGCCTCTTGGGCAATATTTCAAATTCACAAGATAATATTTGCAAAAATGCAATAGATGGAAATAACGAGAGTGAAGGAGGAAAATGAAAACCAGTTTTATGTTTAGTAAGTTCAAGTGTCCTACATCAAAGACTACCAGTGACTTCCAGGAGGCCACGAAAGGTGACTCCAGCCTAGAAAATGCTGAGGTAAATGTTTCTTGGAAATACTCCTAATCGAAAAGAGCAATTAATATTAATGTAATAGCAATTACTCTGCCATACATCATGGCAAACTAAAGTCAAACTGAGAAGAAAGTGCCAAATAATCCACATACATGCTTTTGCTATGATAGTCTCCAGGTAAGGCTTAGCGGCAAGTACAATATGTGTTTTTAAAAGAGCTCCACCTGATTATCCTGCTATGCATAGATTCAGGAGTAACTATCATACATGGCTTTCATAGATCACGCATGTATTTTTGTCATTTGCCAATGCTGTGTCATCAGAACTGAGTTCAGCAGAAGGCTCAGGAGGGGGCTCCGCAGGAGGAAGTGCTGGTGTTTGAGGAGTGTCTTCTTCCTTGGTGTCCAGCTGCATGCTTTCTTGCGACTGCCCATCCATGCAGTCCTTTTTAGACAAGGGGTGAACTGACACTTTTATTGCAATCTGTTGAGGTGGCTCGTGCAGTGACGAGGCGTCGGAATCAGCCGTGGGAGAGTCACTGCGTTTCAAAGCGTTCGGGATCATATACAGCTCATCTGTTTCAGTGGTTTCCTGGCCTTCTGCCGTCTGCCGTACAAAATTCTGTCCTTGCTCCTCCAGACCGACAACCTCCATAATTTCTTCCATTATAGTCCTGCAGTTCATGATGAGAGGTGGCAAAGGTACGCTCCGAGCAAGCTCTTCAATATAGCGAGCAAATTCCATGGTCTTGAACTGAGTTACTTTGGCAAGCTCGAGCGTTTTGGCTGAAGTGATAATTGGGATACGCTTTGCAATCTCAAAGGCTTTCTGGAGTTTCTCTGCCCCTTCTGTTCTGAAGAATTCATTGATTGCTTTCTCAGTTTTCTTCAGATGACTGCTCATCATACATAACCGAGTAATGTTCAGTATCATAACAATGGTAAAAGCTACAAGGCAGACAATCATGTAATAGATTCCCATATCTCCAGAGGTAAAAACAACCCTCAGCGTCACCGTATTGTTAACGCTGCCGTACATATTAGATGCGACACACGTGTATTTACCTCTGTCTTCAAAAGACACGCTGGTAATGTTTAGTAGCCCGTTGTCAAGAAACCACCATTTTCCTGCTGGAGAAGAGACAGAGTAACTTAGTTAGAAGTATTTTGTTCACACGATCAGCAGAGTCTTAAACATCAGCTTTGTCAAACTGGCTTCAGATTTTGGAAGACGGCAAATAATGTTCAACAGAAGACAACAGATTTACTGTCACAAAGGCCTGTCCCTCCCTGAGATCCTGGCTGCATTACTATCAAATCCCTGACATCAACAGTGAATAATCGGATCGTGCCCTAAAAGAGTCTCATTAAAAAATGTTAATATGCTTGACCTCTACCACAATCTTATGGTCAGTTAGGTTAGAAAGACAGGGCTACTTACCCCAGAGAGCCTCCCAAACACATGCCTCACTTCCTCAAAGAACAGTAACAATGGGATTACGAGGCAGAAAAACCTACTAAGCCCTCCTTGTTTTGTTCCCCGACAACGCATTTTCTTACAATTGTGTTATTTTCGGTGTTTTTTTACAGTGCCTCATATAATTCTGTTAATGTAAACTTCAAAAAACCTAAAATTTCAGACATCATATACTACACCGAGGTGTTCAGAATCTAATTTTGAAGTATGATTTTTAAAAAAGGGAAACAGGACAGAAGGAGTAGGATGGATGGGAAAGAGCAGGGCCATGACCAATTAGGGGAACATCTTGTTTGCCAGCCTGAACTTCTATGGACCACGATGGAACTTCTTTTACTTTTAAAAGTAATTTCTATCAGTGTGATGTAATTGATATCTTTGGTCACTACATGTAATTGTACGTGTACATGTCATATCCTTTGAAGCTGGCACGGCAGAACAATTTAGCTATTAAGCTGAGTTTGAAACAAAATGTTAAAATCCAACACTCCTATCCTTGCTAAAGTGATTCAGGATTCAGCTAGTTACTGTGTTTTTCCATTATATATTGGTAACGAATTAGATTTTTAGTTCCCCAAGAGAGCTTCATTTCTACTCAAATATGACTACCATTTAAGAGCTGAGGATGTACATTTTTTGCTTTCTTTGGTGTGATACGACTTACTAAATTGCAACTTTGCTATAAAAAACATGGTTCAACTCCAACAGGATAGCCTGGTGTCAATTCTTTCCTTCGTGTGAACCCACCCCTGGAAGTGTTCACACGGTGGAGAGAACAGCCAGAAAGCGGAGGAGTACCTCTGTGCCTTCTGAACACTTCATACGGGGAGATGTCATACAGAAGATTCCTTTTAAAACAATGACATAGGCTGAGGTAAGCCAACAAGACCATCTAAGACACACTGCTGCTCAGAGGCAGGCTCTGGAACACAATCCCAAGCCATTCCTGAGAGGTTTTACTGCTGAAGGTGGGGATTTCAGGTGTTCACCTGTATTTACTATCAGGAAGTCATTTTTCCTTAAACCTAACCTCACCAGCTGCAATTGAAGTCTATTAAAGCAGCTGAGCAAAGACACAGACTCGGTGATGAGAGGACTAAACCAGTGCAAACCCCCCGTGCCACGCATGTAAATCACAAGGCAAGGACTGCAGTCCTGCCACAGGCTGGTGGATGCCTTGCTTCTACATTTCTTTTATCCGTTTCATGGAAGTTCTTTCGTTGTTAAAAAGATTATTCTATTTTTTTGACTTTATTTCTTTCAAGGAAGAAGCTGTGGACAATTCTGAAACTCATTAGTCAAAAAAAGCCTTTAATTCAGAGTAGTTATGGGCTTTTACCATTTTGAAAGTTTTTCTAATTAAACACGGCTTATCCAAATTGGTTTTTCACATTATCTCCAGTAGAAGCCTATGTAGAAAGTATTCCCACAAGATCCCTGCCTCAGTTCCTGTACGGACAGTTCTTAATTACATCTTTTTATCCTCTTTCTTAGAATTTTTAACTTAGCCGAAACAGTATTTTTTTACCCTAGCTTAATTCTTGAAAACGGCTGAATCACTTTGCCTGAAATTAAAAAATATAGAAAAAATAAAAAGCTCCGTCTAAAGCAGACCTTCACATAAAAAAAATCGCCCCAGTCTGCTAAAGTTAGCCAAATTCGGAGGAAAACTCTCTTACAGAGGAAATGTCAGCATCTGTAACAGGTGACGCTTCTTTCTCCACCTCTAGAATAAGAAAAAATACAGAGTATTGTCTGCTCGGTATTTCTTCGAATTGCAACGTCGGCAAAGTAGGTCTGTATTAATTGTAAACCGACAAGACGCCTTGCTGATGTATCCCGGCTCCAGCTGTTATAAATGACATAATGGCATTGAACTGTGACTCAATGACTGGGTCTGTGCCAGCGGATCCTGGCAGATAGTACAAGCCTAATGAGAAAACAATGATTAGAACAGGTATCATTGCTGGGTTTTGGTAACAAGTCAATGCCATGCTCAACATAACTATATACACAGTAAAGAAAAGTCTTGTGCTAGGAACCGATTCTTACAGAAGACAGTTTCTTACAGGAGGAAGAGCACTGTTGAAAGTCTTACTATAATATCTGCAATTTTTACTGATTTGGTCAAAGTTTTTGCTCACCTACCTAAATATTTGTGTTAGTAGCTACCTCTCTCCATTGACTACACAAAGACCTAAATTTAGATGCCTAATTAAAGGGGAAATTTTCTGTTACTGAGCCTTAGTAAAACACTCTAGCACACTAATCACAGTATGTTTCCATGACCGCACAAATTATATCTGAAAGTCTGCTTACTAGCTCAAGTAGTTCCTTTCTCTACCTTTACTCAGAAAATGAGAAAATACTGGAATGTAAAATATAACCAGTTACGCAGTAAGCTTTTACAGATACACTATGCTGTCGCATATCTAGCTGGGTCAATCATTACTCCCGTCATAGCAGAGTTCTCCCTCAGGTCAGCTATTAGTTAGGCAAGCTATCTTGCATTTAGTATGAACAACTAAGGGTTTATTTCATCATGCGGTGAACAAAGCAGTCAGTATGGAAGGATTACACGAGCAAAACACCTCCCACACCCCGCCCCCCAAACGTCCCCTAGGACTATAACTAGGATTATCACCCAAACCTTCCGTTTAAGGAAAACAAGCTCATGTGTAATTAAGGTCTCTGGCAAATGCAACTGGAGAGTCTTAACTAAAGCCAGGAAGGCTCAAACTCGGCTTGTCCTTCTGACTGCTGCCCTATGTAGGTTTTTCTGTTGGTCATTCAGGGCATCTCCTGTTTCTCACACTCCCGTGGCACTATGCCTAAAGACAGCAGGCGTATCAGGGAGTTAGCTGTGTTGGATTCATACCAACAAACAATTCTCATACGTTAAGAGAATCTTCCCTTGAGTTGGAAAGTAGCTTTTTAGTCTTTTTCGGTGCCAGAGAAGAACAAAAGAGGACAAAATGGGAAATAGGATCAAACCTGAAGTCTTCCAGTGACAAGAAGCCCCTCTGCACCTTCTGTTAAGTGCTTCAGCTTCTTGCTATGTGTTGCTATAAATTACACGTTTAAAAAATGTTATTGTTTTCTTCTAAGGTGTGCACAACAAATTTATGGCTGCCACCCGGCTTTCGTGTATTTTCACCAAGGAAAATACCACAGTCAGGCCATTAAATTCAGGTTATTAGTCAACCTGCTGAAATCAGAAGTGTTTCTGGACAGGCTACATCAGCGACAATACGAAGATCTTACCTTTATTCTCCCCCTCTTGGAGCAGGCGGCCGTTGGAGTTGTACCACCTGTAATGTGGACTAGGACTACCTTGGACATTGCAGTCGATCAAGGCACTACTCCCCTCCTTGACTATAATGTGGTCGATGCGGGAGATCACCACAGGCACAGATCCCACCTTTATCTCAGTGCGGTTGAAAGTGCTATTAGTCACATCCTCAGCAGTCGTCAAAGCTGCTACTAAGATGGCAAGGCATGTGGTAGGCAGAAAGTACAAGAAGTGGTGGCTGTTCAGTATGTTCATTTTCCTTCAGTGGTATCCGCAACTGGCTGGGAACCGGGTTGAACGCAGGCCCTTGAGGTGAGGAGGTCACAGGAGAGTTCTACTCTGATCCGTGCAACTTTACGTTTAAAATAGCCTATAAAATAAATAAATAAGTGCAATGAGCTGGCACGGATAAACAATCCATTAGATGTGCTCTTTTAAAATAGCGACACATGCATTAATGCATTTCACAATCATCAGCTCAGTGTCTTGTCTAAATGCAAATGTTATCACAGGCCTTATTCTTACTGGAAAAAGATGGATACATTTTCCTGACAATAGTGTTGTTCCGAGTGGCAGGCGTGGGAGAAGGCTTTTATCACCTAGACACTTAGCAGCAATTTAGCTACAGCAGCCGCTACGGTTTTATGCCAAAAGCTCTACAGAATTTTCTTTCTTTCTTTTTTTTTTTTTTCCAACATTTGCAAAACCCACAGGAAAAACAAAGGTGCGGCACGTGAAAGCTGTCACCACCAGTTCAGTGCTGCAACTCGGTCACCTGCATGGTCGGAGGTGAATTGTGGCACATGGTGTAAGAAAGAACTGCTCCCGGAAAGGTTTTCGGAGCTGATGTTGGAATCCTTAATATTCACAATTTTGTCCAAATACGATAGCACCTACAGAAAAACATCTCAGACCGTTCATTTTTCTTCAGCTACTGCATTTTTTTACGTTTTCTGAGATAAAACATAGCACGGAAGAATATTCTTAGAAGAGGATATTTAGTACTTGATCAAGTCATTTCAATGTCATTGTTAGAGCAGATTTAGAAAGAAGAATACTTGCTACTGACGTAATTATGGGTAAGGCTTCTGTGAGATACAAACGAAGTTGGGACTTTGCCATTCCTTCCATGGCATTAAGCATTTTGCCTGTATACTTTTGGCACACTCTCACTACGATATTTTCCCTCAGCCGATCATCTACAACAAGCCCTTTCTTAACCAGGGATTTCCATCTGTACACGGGGAAGGGGGGGTTACCAATGTCCTCTCTGTTGGCCTCATTGTCCTCCCAGTGACCACAACTGGCATGCTCTTCTCCACTGACGGGGGGGCACACATGAGCCCCTTGGGAAAGTGCACTCAGAGGCCAAGGGCCACAAATGATGTTCAAATCACATCCGAGGATCTAACTACATTGGTTTTACTCATGTGTTTCTAAGGTAAATAATTGAAACTCAGGGAAATTTATTAGTTAGAGGAATCCAAATATAGGTAACTATCTAGCAAACCTGGTTTGATCTGGTTGACACCATGGTAACTCATCGACCTCAGCACAGAAAAGGACTGCTGACAAGGTGAGGTCAGTTCCATATATAAAGGAAACACTCAAATAAAACCAACCAAACAAACAATCAATCCCCTTCCCTCTTTTCTTCTTTACTCAGACAGGAAAAACAACATTACTGTCTTTCACTGGCAATATCTGACCTAGGTTGTTTTCTTCTCCATCCCCTGTTCTCTGTAAAGCAATGAACTTGACTTCATACAAATAGATACAACTGTTACTAAAAGAGCAAAAGAGTTCCCTCCATTTTGCAGGACGAATCATTACTCGAAACGACAAACTATGTTTTTTCAGATAAGCTGCGTGCATGGTGTGGACGCCTGTCGCGACCCCACGCCTGCCCTCATCTTTTTTTCTCTGTTTTTCTAATTCCTGAATGTGGAAATATTTGTCTTGAAGAGCCAGAATAATTTTTAACTTCAAATTAATATGCAAATCTCATTTGTCATATAAAGCTATATAAACAATGATTTCAGAAATCCATTTCCAATTATGCAAAGCATGTAGAGCCTGCGCTTTGGAAGTTCTGTATAGGTACAGCCTGCCTGAATCAGCACTCTGGAAAAAAGCCTTCAATTCTGCCTATGCCCTTCAGTAACTATTTACATCTCATTTCTACTACTCCATTAACCTTGGAGACAGCCATTCTTTATGGTTACACATAGTCACTCTGCAAAATGTTTCTGTACAGTGTTATAGATCTGCATTGCACCATACAGAAAAGCCAAAAGACATGTCACGCTTCCTGGCAAGGGAGCAGGAACAAAGACCGGCTGGATTAAGACATCGGGAAGGGCAAAAGAACACCGCAAATTGATTAAGCTTTGTGTTGCTAATTACTGGCTGTAGCTTGTTATTATTGTATTTGAGCCTACCGTGGTTTTTGATGGCAGCAAATTCAGTAGCAATCAAAAAAGGTGTTTTAGCGTGGAGAGCAATTTGCATTCCAGGAGGAAATAAAATCGCATCACCCCAACGGGTGAACAGCAAACCTGTAAGGAAGGACCCGCAGTGTACTGGGAAGCTCAAGGTACCTGGTGACCCCCTGAATCCCTACAGCACAGGGATGCTGTGGATGGACATTTGGAAAGCGTGTGACGGCAGTACCGACGTCAGGCGTGCCTAGTCGGTATGCTTACCTGTGTTTTAATGCAGAGCACAGGGAAGCAAAAACCGTACCTTTGTGTCGCGATACCAAATGTGACTCGTTCTTAACATGGTCAAAGAGCCAATTCCTTTTCTGAAAATAACAGCGGCTCCCTCACTGTGGCAGAGAATTGAATCATAAATAGCTGCAGTAAATTTTAAGAAATAGAGCCGAATAATTTACGTCTACTGTGAGAGATTCGTACCTACTCATGTCATTCCTGGGAACGTACTTTCCCATCTGTGTTCCTGGAACGAAGACTATTAAGAAAACACTAAATACCTCTGCAAATGCATTTCTGTTTGTTTGAAATAAATACAGTCTGATGGCTAGTATGAGGAATAACCAGGCAGTAGGCTTAAGGCAGAATGGTTGGAAATGGTGGCTGCTGCTTTCACATACTATCCAGGGAAGTGCTCCTGATGGACACCTGAGCATGTTTGAGGAGTCAAGGAGAGATCTCTCTGAAGAACGGTGTTTTAAGATGCAAGTTTAGACAAATGTTCCCAGGGCAACTAGGATGCGATAGGGAATTTTTTTCTTCGGTGTGCATCCCCTGCACTGATCGTGGGGAACAAAAAAATGGAAGAAACCAAAGAAGGTTTTTGCGGCCTCGCCTAGCACAAGAAAGTTAAAGGGTGGCCATGCAGGGACCTGCCTGTCCAGGACCCTCTGCTAACCTCTTGGGCAGGTTGACCAAAAATGCTAGAGTCAGGTTAGGAAAGCAGGAAGAAGCAGAGAGAGAACTGAAAGGGCAGAAAATGTGCTCACGCCAGACTCTGGTGCAAAGGGAGATTCCCTGAGAGTTTCTGTCCGACTGCTTTGCCGTAGGCACAGTAGCAGCCTGAGGGTACCAGGGAAAACAAATCTGGGAGCCAGCTGCTTTGTTAAACGTCAGTGATGTAATGGGTTATGATTCAATCGCACAACTAAATGGGGAGGAGGCTAAGGAGACTGAAATAGGACTGCTAGTGATGTCTGCCCACTTCTGGCAAAGAAGCAAGAGAATCCAGAATAACGGAGATGTGAGTACGGTGCTGTCACCCAGGATCTTGGCCATGAGAGGCGGTAATTAGCTGTGGCCCACGATAAACCTGATGAAGGCGGCCAAAACTGTAACCTTTTAATCTGACCCGAAGTCAGAGAGAGCTGGATTGACTTACGTTAAATAGTTTTGGTTTTTTCTTCCCCAACCCAAATGGTATAAACTGAAAATGTGAAAGTAACGGATTTACTGCTCGCAGGATTCACTTCCAAGGAAAACTGGACAAGACTTGAGCCACATGAGGGAACTACGACAGGCTTTTCTTCCAAGAGATCCAACAGCCAGCTCTAGCATGCTCTCTAGGCATTTCTATCCAGAGAAGTTCCCCAGAATGTGCTCCAGACCTCGCACAGCTGCAGGGTGGTGGTATTACTCCTAACTATGTGAAACAAGGACAAAAACTCAGGTTAAAACTTCTCTGTCCAAAATCAAGCATCAGTCTAAACAGAAGACACCTGCAGCTCAGGCTGGCCGGGAACATTAATCACTCAGAGACATTTTCTGATTGAGCGTTTATTTTTCCATGTCACAGCTGAGTTTGCTTCCCAGTATTACCGCCACTAAAGGAAACGACTGAGGTCCACCTTTGTAAGTACTGCATTTGTGCAGAACAACGTGGTGACAGAGCACAAAAGAACAGAAAAGGAGGGCAGCGATGCATACCTTTTCCTGGCTCGCTCACTTCTGTAAGAGTGGCCTGTTCTTGTTCTTGGCATAATGTGTAATCCGATTAACTGTGAGGTTATTCAATTCAGAAGTGAAGCACTAGAAGCCAGCTTATTGTATAATGCATAAATTATGTTCCTATAGCTTCAACAGCCCAATGCTGTCTTGCTTGGCTTGTAAGTGATCAAGAAGATGAAATGATTTTCATTCTAGTTCTCATTGGTCTATAAATAAGTATCAAGGATGAGGCTACAAAAGAAAATTAAAGCTAATCCTTTACTATTTAAAAACTACTTACTACCCTTCCTCATTTCCATGGGCAATGCCTTTACAGAGTGGGCAAAAGTAAGAGTTACCAGGTTTTACTGGAACAGGAATGCAAGTGAAGGAAGGCAAGAAGCTCACTGCCAGTTCACAGGCTTAAGTGTGAGAACCACTTACTGAAAAGGTTAAGCTATTAGGATCTAGACAGGCAGATGAAGAGAAATGTCACTCATTTACAACTAGCAGAAACTTTCTGACTTTTTTTTCTAGTCATTTGTTAGTCAATAAAATATTAAGGCTTGTTTCCAAAAGAGCTGCTCTGTTCATTCTCTTTGGGGGGGATTTCAGTCCTTCATAACATCGTGGTTTTCTTTTTCCCTGGCCATGTTGAATAGGTGGCACGCTGGTGATGTTTGTAAGATGAAGAGCTTCCTTCTGGACATCTAGACTGGGACTTCCCACCTGGGTGGCTGCTCCCAACTATGTACACGTCTCAGTCTCTTCAGCTGCTTTCAGCGGCCTGGGAATCTTTTAGAAACTTCTCATCGGGGCTGTGTGATACTGCCC